ATATTTATTATATTCAGATATCTACATAAAAAACATATTATTTAGAGGCAGTTGTTCTTATAGGAGATTTTTCCTTGCAGAAAGGAGAATAAATTCTTTGTTTACTAGGAGTTTACTACTGTTAGTCTTTAAAGTTTTGGAAATGTTCTTACTCATTAAACTGTAGTAAATAAATTCTAAATTATTTCTAGATAAAGACATCTGCAAATCAGTCAGTCATGGCTGTGAACACCTTTGTGTTAATAATGATGATTCATACACTTGCCAATGCCATGATGGATTCATACTAAGGCAAGATGGGAAAACATGCCGAAGTAAGCAGTTTATTAATAAAAGAAGAAATGTATTTTTTGTCTTGCTAGAATATTATTCACTGGTTCATAGTAGCCAGAATGGAATATTTTTATCTATAGATCATAAGACTTGTATGAATTAAGGATTGTTTGAACTAAAGCTACATTTCAGAAAAATAAGACCATTTTAAGGTTTGAATGTAGGTTTTAAAATGTGAACTTCATTTCCAAATTAAGTATATTGAGTTTTAATCTTGAGCATAGGATGTTGCTACATTTTACTGTACTGTGTTCTTCTGTCTGTATTCATGCAGATCATGACTTGTTCTGTAACCTCTTAGCATGTTTTTTCTTTTGTAAATTATAAGCAAATTAAACTCCTTCAGGCTTTTTATGTCTTCTAATCTTTTTATAACTCTCTTCTTGCTCCCCTAAAACCTCTGCTGTTTATCAGTATCCTTGTGAATGCACCACAGTGAAAGAAAGTCTTCTAATAGGAGACTCAGCAGGATCCACAGCAGAGGAACAATAACCCATCTAATTCTTATTTGAATCTTCCTATCATTTTAAAAATAATTTATCTTTTGTTTAATCTTTTTTTTTTTGGCAAAAGACAGTGTTAGTCTCTGACCAAAATATTCTGCTAGTACTCATGTTCAATTAGTTATCTACCATGATCAGAAGTTATTTAAGATTCACAGTATTACAGGTGCCCCATGTCCTTAAGGCTGTAAGTACAGCCTTCATTCCTTGTTTCTGAATGTATATCCTTCATTCTGGCTGTTTTAAAATACATATGATTTGATGTTATCCACAAAGATTCATGTTACCTTATATCAGCAGCTGCTGTATATTCATTTGCTATTCTCTCAGAAGTGGAGTAATCTACAAACTTTATTAGTGATTATTATATGTCTTATTCTGGGCTGTCCATAAAAATGTTAAGTAGTAGAGAAGCAAAGCAAATTCTTGGAAAGAAAGTTACTTGAAGGTTACTCATTTTTAATCGGTTCTGTTGCCCTTTCTAGCCAGTGTTAATCCATATAATGTTGATTGTGTAGTCTGTTTCTTTAATCAAAAGAATACCAAGACTGCTGCCATTTTGAATGCTCCATTGTATGAACAGCATAAACTTTGAAAACCAGACTCATCATCAATTAAGAAAGACATTTATTTAGTTTTTCCAGGATTAATTTTTTCATAACACCAAATTGATTGATATTAGTCCTCTTTCTTTGATTTTACTCTGACTCAAGTTCCACATTATCTGTTGCATTATTTTAATTCAGATAAATGTTAATCTGGCAGGCTTACAGTGAACTACTCATCTTTTTAAACCATATGCAACCATACTGCTTTTTCAGTGTGTATACATACACTGAGAATGGAGACAACTCAGTGTTTTGGGGCTTCCTCAGAGTTCTAGGAGTTCCTGAAAATTAACATTAAGCATCAATGATATTCTTCAGAAACGTCTTTTGCAACTCTCTGCTGCAAGTTATCTGGAGTTTCTTATTCAAAAGTGTGTGTGTGTGTGTGTGTGTGTGTGTGTGTGTGTGTGTTTGTTAGGTAGATGCTGTGTCACCTACTTCACACAGAGTGAAACTCTTCACTCCAACAAGGTCATCAGTAATCTATTTCATAGGTTCAGATCTGAATACACCAAAGTGTTTAATATTTCTGCATGAAGATTGGCAGTTCTACTTTTCTGTCCATTAATTAATAATGCATTGTTAAAATGCTTTTTGTTCCTTATAGTATCTAAATAATGTACTCATACTACCCTTTATTTGGTTGACCATTCACCCCCTTCTCCTTCATCTTATTATTTCAGTGTTTCAAATTCCTACTTTTTTCCCATTCTGTAAATACTGTGAATGTTCCTTTCTTTCAGTCATTTTTCAAATCTTATAGCTGTTTTCAACTTCAATTTCTAGATTTTTAAACTAGCCTGGCATTCTTTTTAGATTATGAGACTACATTTTTTGGGGGTGTCTAGTAAAATAACCTTAAATAGTGCAATCATTGATAGTTTTTATTACTATTATTATTTCCCTCTTGCATCCCAACATAGTCTGGCTCATGCTTACTTTCAGCTATGTAAAATTTATCCTTCTGAAGTAATAGCCATGTCTGCTGCTGATCTGTATTTTATTCTGTTTATAAACAAATGTTTCTGAGTTGTGCACAGCTGTGTATAAGCAGATGCTAATTTTTACTTACGTTGTAATTTCTCCCTTACCCACTATGACCAGACCTTGTTTAGATTGCCATGTCTTAAATATAATTATTTTTGAGTTAGAATATTGTCTTATGTAGTAGCTTTTGGAATTTTTCTTTTGGTAGCAGGAAACCCCAAGAAATTTGCCTCAGGTTGAAGTTCTTCTAAAGACACAAACCTCAAGAGTCAAATTGAACTTGGCTCTCAGGAGGCCACTTTTTGTGTAAAGGTAGTTCTCCATTAGAAACTGATATTTTTTTTGTGTGGCATGAAGAAGAAAAAGGGAATGCTGATAGATGGCTCCACTTTCTTCTGCACTTTCTCCCCATCTACCCTTTTTGAAGAGGTTTTAACCAAGTGGTTTAACATTGCAGTCATACAAGTCCACGCATCAATTTTCAGCAATCCAGTTAGATTTTGTTTATTGTCTTATATAAGTAGTTCCTGTTCTTTCAGGTTTTGTTTACACAGACTCTTGGCACTGATATAAGGATGTCAAGACTTATGGTTAAATCATGTCCTGTGGTGTTTTTCTTTGTTTTGTTTTTACCAGTATGGATTTATGCTAAATGACTGTACTAAATTATTCCCCCCTTTCACTCTTGGTGCTCTTAATGTAAACTCCTCCTCTTTAATCTAGTCAGATTAATCCTAAAATGGTTTATTTTCAGTTGGAGGTCATCCAAACCATGAAGTTCTGGTCAGATGATAAAGAATAGATACTCAATGTAAGCTAAGATGTCCATCATTTAACTAGTGAGAGAGAAATTTGCTTTCAGTTTGCAAGCTTCCATCTCTTTTTGCTCATGGGATTGATCCCCTAGTTGTTGTATTTATTTAAAAAAATAATTTAACTAACAAGCCACGTAAATATTATCTAACTATTCCCAGGCAAGGATATTTGCAAATCAGTCAACCATGGCTGTGAACATGTGTGTGCTAGTGCTGGTGATTCATTTGTTTGTAAGTGCCAGGAGGGATTCCAGCTAAGAGAAGATGGAAAAACTTGCAGAAGTAAGTAGTCTGATATTACTCAACATACTCTTTATCTGCAGCTCATGCTCGTGTAGAAATGGGCTAACCAGCAAAAGCTGTCATCTGTTTTCAGATAAAGATCTTTGCAAATCAGTCAACCATGGCTGTGAACATGTTTGTGTTAATTCTGGTGATTCATATACCTGCAAATGCCATGATGGGTTCCTACTGAGAGAAGATGGGAAAACCTGCAGAAGTAAGCAACACAGGAACTTAATTGGATGAATTACACATTCAGTAATGAAGGCCTCTGCTGATGTGTGCTGACTACCAACTCTCCTGTTTGCAGACAAGGACATTTGCAACTCAGTTGACCATGGCTGTGAACAAGTTTGTGTGAATACTGAGGATTCCTACATCTGCCAGTGTCATGAAGAATTCATACTGAAGGAAGATGGCAAGACATGTAGATGTGAGTAGCCTGAGCTATAAAAGTATGTTTTTATTTGAGGCCTTCAAGTGTTGTGGGTGTGAGTGCACACATGTATGTTTGTGATTTCCAACTATTTGGGTTGGTTTAAAAAAGATACTGTCTCTACCTAACAAGCCTCACCTCACAAACCCCATCCACTTTTCTCAGATAAAGATGTTTGCAACTCAGTCGACCACAGCTGTGACCATATTTGTGTTAATACTGGTGATTCCTATATCTGCAAGTGTCATGAAGACTTCATATTGAGAGAAGATGGAAAAACTTGCAGGAGTAAGTTATTTAATCTTGTTTTGTACTTCCTGATCTGTTAATGAAACACACTATGCAACATAGTGTGTCATTTGTGTCTTTATTATAGAATCAGCTTAATGTGAGCTCCTTCATAGCAAATCATAGCCAAATTTTTTATATTTTGTGAAATTTATTTACTTAGCTAACTGTGCTAAATACAATTTTCATTATTCCAAGGTAAAAATGTCTGCAAAACAGTCACCCATGGTTGTGAACATGTCTGTGTTCCAACTGGAGATTCATACATGTGTCAGTGTCACAAGGGATTTATATTGAGGCGAGACAGGAAAACATGCAGGAGTGAGTAGCTGAAACTTCTATGGGGAATATGTTTTTCAGTATTAAAAGAAAAAACAGCCTTACTTTCACTCAAAGCTTGTTCAAACAGTTTTGTATTAGAGAAATAGTCTAATAAGAGGATTCTCTTAACAATTCTCAGATAAAGACCTGTGTAAATCCATTGACCATGGCTGTGAACATGTGTGCATTAATACTAACAACTCATACAGCTGTCAGTGCCATGAGGGCTTTGTCCTGAGACAAGATGGGAGGACATGTCAAAGTAAGTAACTCATGGTATCTGTCAGCCCCTCTTCTCTGGCATTGCTACATAAATAAACAAAGATATTGTACTCCTTTGTCATATGTTCTTCAGATATCATGTTTGGGGTCTTTGGATTTATAAAATGTTCAATAGAATACAGATAAATACTTCCATTTTTCCTAGGTAAAGATGTCTGTAAATCAGTTGACCATGGTTGTGAATATGCTTGTGTTAATAATGGTGATTCTTATATCTGCAAATGCCAGGAGGGGTATGTACTAAAAGAGGACCAGAAAACATGCAGAAGTAAGTATATTTTATTTAGAAAGCATTTGTTTCTTTTATTTCTAAAATTAATTTACCTCCCTTCAAAAAAATTATAGAATCATAGAATGGTCTGGGTTGGAGGAACCTTATTAAAGATCACTTAGTTCAATCTCCCTGCTGATGGCAAGGGCACCTTCTACTAGACCAGGTGTCTCCAAACCAAATATAGCTTGGCTTTGAATACTGCCACAGCCTCTCATTTCAAACATGATATAATATTTGAAAGCCCAGGGCATATGTGTGTGGCAGAAAATGTCTCAAACAATTAACTTGATGCTCTCCTAAACAAAAATCTATCAAATTGGAAGAGTTGTTTTAGTACAATAATAATTCTTTTGAAACATCAGGGAAAAGCCAAAAAGGAATCTTATTACCAAGGAATGTCCATTTTAATCAGGTCCATATACTGTGGGTGTTTTATCTTTATGTACTATATTTTAAATATGTACTATATTTTAAATTAATTTTATTTGCTTATCTTCCAACATAACATGAATTTATCTCATCATCTCTTAATACTTGGAGGAGAAGTTCTACTGGAATTCAGTAAAAACATTTATTCTGCCAAAAATGGATGCCTTAGTTGAGGAGACTGTGATTAGAACAGTAACAAGTTGTGGCTGTTCTCGATCCTAACTGACACCATGCACCATGCTGCCCTTTCTTGACTTATGCAGTGGTATTGAGGTGGTTCTGATATGTACATTAATTGCATTTTCATCACCTTAGTACATGTGAGGTGTCTTTTTCTCAGATGACTGTAGAAAGGAATTCTTGAGCAGTATTAAAATAGATATTTCCTAAGAATAGAAGTCCAGGCTTTAAAGCTGAAAATCCGTTATTTGTACTTTGACTTGGTAACAAACATCTCCAGTAATTTCTACAGAGTAATTTCTGCTGAATAATTCTCTTTTGTGTAGTGCTTACAACATTCTGCCTGTACAAAGATCAGAGGTGAGTGGAGGTCAAAGTTTATTTGGTCCAGACTAAGAAGCAAATCTTACATTCCTTAGTATGGCATATTTTCCCTGGAAGATACATTGATCCAATAGGAACTAGCTCCAATTGGAGCCCTACAGCTGGCCTTTGCACAGAGCACACTAATCTCTGCCTGCTGAAGGCAATTCCTCTCCAGAATTTAAAACAAAACAAAACAAAACAAAACAAAACAAGACAACTCACCTGGCAGAAGCAGTCTGAAGCTTGGAAGACATTCTCCAATCTCTAAAATCCCTAACCTTGTTATTGATGCCCTACAAACTACTTTGATTTTTGCATCTGCATATGCCAAAAAGTATGAGAAATACAAATTTTACAAATTTGCCTGTCTTCTGACGAACTCCCAGCTCTAATGGGTCAACCAGAAATACAGCAGCAATACATAGGTCTTCTAATTACAAAATTGGTAGACACTTACAAGCAAAAACCCCCTTATCTTGACAATTCTGATTCTCTCAATAGTTAAATAGTTGTAACACTAGTAGTAGTGTTGTATAGTTGTAACGCCTGTAACACTAATGCAGCTTCAGTGATTCTCTTCCATGTCTCTTAGTGCTGACAAATTTGACAAATGCAAGCTTAGTATACAGGCTTATCTCTGGAAGAAAATGATGGCAACTCTGTCTATGTTCTTCAGTTCTCTCCACTAAAGAGAAATTCTAAATATTTACTGATTGTTGAAGCATTTTTAACAGGTGTAGTATTCTGCAAAGCAGAATATGTCTCAGTAAATATTTGCTGTGGTTATAATTTTGTTAAATTCTTAGTCATTGACCTACTCTTAGCTTTTGAGACAGACTGTACACAACATCTTCAGACACATTGGCACAATAAGATGAGCCAGGAACAGGGTACTTTAAATGATCCCTGAATTTTTGCCAGGGTATCCAGATCCCTTTCCCAATCTTGTGGACTTTTTTCTTGATCTGTACACTCTGTTGCTCTTTTCACAGGATGCACTGAAGGCCCAATTGACCTGGTGTTTGTGATAGATGGATCAAAAAGTCTTGGAGAGGATAATTTTGAAATTGTAAAACAATTTGTCTCAGGAATCTTGGACACACTTGAGATTTCACCCAAAGCTGCTCGAGTTGGTTTGCTTCAGTATTCCACTGAGGTTCGTACAGAGTTTACATTAAAGCAGTTCAGCTCAGCCAAAGACATGAAGAAAGCTGTGTCACAAATGAAATACATGGGCAGAGGTTCCATGACAGGACTGGCACTGAGGCAAATGTCTGAGAGAAGCTTCACAGAGACAGAAGGAGCAAGACCATTCTCAGCAAACGTGCCTCGAATCTCCATTGTGTTTACGGATGGGCGGGCCCAGGATGAAGTGTCTGAGTGGGCTACCAGAGCAAAGCAACGTGGTAAGTGCAAGTTTGGTGTCAATGCTTTTATTGTCTCATTCTAAAAGGCAAATATTGTTAGGAATAAGATGTAGTAACAGTTTGGATGTCTAACGAAGAGAGTGCTTGCCAAAGCAGCGTGGCCAGTACAGTGACAGTGGCCGCTGTCCTGCCCATCAGATCTTTGTGTTCACAAGGGCCTTTGCTGCCAGGCATGTGCATCCTCCCCACAGCAGGGCTCTTGGGGAATGCCTCACCACAGGTAGTGGTGCCACCCACCTGGCATCCCTGAGTGCATCCTCTAAGGGTAGACATTAGATACACAGACATGGGAACACCGGGAACTTCATCAAAAATTTTAGGAAAACAAGAAAAGAAACCCCAAGCTGTCTCTTCAAAATACAGCAATCTATTCTTGTGAAAAATACTATGGTAATGATTAGCTATATTTATGTTTATAGGGTATATTCTTTTTATTTTTAACCAGTTTTATAGCACTAATGGTGTTCTGGAAGGAAGATGACTCTTTTGGAAAGAATATAACTGTAGTGTTGTCTATCTTACTGTTTCTATATACCTATATGCTAAAATGTGACTGAAAACTGGTGATTTTAGTTTCTAATTTCTAATATGTTTGGGCAGACATCCATCCTTTAGAACACCTGTGCCACAAATCAGAATCTTTTCATCTGTTTAGCAGAGTGAACTGAAAATTTTCAAAACTTGTCAAGAAAATAAACAATCTCTTTTTTTTTTGCTAAATCTTTTTTTTTAATTTTATGAGAAACTGCTTTAAGAACCATGGCTGATAGGCCACAACACAGAGAAAATAGCCAGACTTCAAAAGATTTTGCACATCTTTTTTTCTGTGCTTGTTTTATTGATTTGACATATTAATCAGAATTGGATACATGATTAGTAGAGCACTGATCAGGATCAATACCTCTCCATAAGGAGAAAAGGGGAAACCACCCAAGGATATGAGAAGGGCATGGGCTAACAAGAGTGGCATTCCAAAGAAAGATAAAGTGATTTTAAAATAACTTTAAAACCCCCAAACATTTACAGGCTTGCTAGTGAGATGAACCTACATGAGGATTTACAGAAGGAAAGAAGTACAAACCAACTTCCTTACTTGCTGAATGAAACCTCAGCTCTGGACTGCTGACACTGACTCTGCAATGCTACAAGCCAAACCCACCCTCTGTGTAATTACAGCATAACCAATAGAGTAATGCTCAATATGAAATGGACCTTGAATAACTTTATCACTGATATCCCCAAGTCTTTAAATAGCAATAACTTCAGCATGACTGGTGCATTCATTAAATTGAATTAGCTTCTGGTGGACAATTTCCTTTCCTGGATAAAGTGCAGTGGTAGGCAGATTAATGAAGAAAAGTAAGGAGATACATTAAAAGTTTAAAACTTGGAAAATGCATACTTTGTGGTATTATCAGACCCGTGATTCTTCAGCAGAAAGGTTAAAAGTTGCAATTCAGTGAGTGTGCAGCAGTTATCACCTCATGTTAAATAAAGATATCAAACCTATGAAGCTCCTAGCTGTACTATGAATCACAAAATCAGTACTTGTTGTGGGCACTTTCTAATCCAGAACTGATATAAAGAGAAATGCTCTATCAGACCATATGCTCATGAGCATAAAAACATAACGAGATTATTGAAGATCTCCATGTTTTGTAGTTATTGCTTGTTTAAAATCTATCTGGTGAGAGGGCTCTGAATCACCCCCTCCTTCCCTGCTTCCAGAGTTAAGAAAATTACACATCCTCATTTACCTTCTCCCTAGCACCTCTGCTGTGGAAATACTTGTCCTGAGCATCCCTGTTGTAAGGCTTTTTCTTTCCTAGCCCCATAAATTTCTGTTTTCCCATTCTTACCCTCCTGTGAGGGCCTTCCAGCCTGTTAGTGCCCCTCAGAGAGCAAGAATCAAGCCTCATTGTGCTCTGAGGATTTCAATGAAGCACTTAGGTATTTTTCTGAAAAATTACTGCCATCTTTCAGGATTCTGCCCCATTTGCTAATATGTAACATGTTTTCCCATCAACCCTGCATTGCATATACCCTACAGACACACACAAACCAGGGACTTGCAGTGCAGTTGTGAGGCTGAACTGTGTGATTCTCTTGGATTGTTTGTAATACTCTTTCTGGGACCATTTACTATCAGTAGTGGCCAGGCAAGTGTCATCTCTCTAACACAAAAACTGTATGTCAAATTACAGCAAACAAGAGAGCTTCTGCAAATCTCCCAGTAATTACAACATATTAAGCCTCTTCACTGATTTTAAAGTTATATATAACATACATTTCTTGGGCTCTCCCTGTCTCTCTTATTTTCCTTTCATGGACGAACAAGTGCTTAGAGTTAGAACTGCTGAAATAATAAGTATGTGCAATTTCTTTTGAATCCAGGTATAATCATCTATGCCATTGGAATAGGAAAAGCAATTGAGGAAGAACTGCTGGAAATTGCTTCTGAGCCATCATATAAACATCTCTTCTATGCTGAGGATTTCACAGCTCTGGAGGACATAAGTGAAGAGCTAAGAGCCCAAATCTGTGAAGGTAAAAAAATTCCATTTTCATTATAGAAGTGAATGTTTTCAGGTGTTTTGCTTTTTGGATTTTTCTGCCCTTTAATACATGAAGAGTATGTACTGATAATCAATCACTGGGTAAATTATCTTCCCTTTATTTTCATGAAAGTTGCATAAAATGTACAATTCTACGCCTAGAAGAATTAATCGCTTCTTCTCTTTTCTGTTTCTCTGGCTAAGTCAACCATGCAATGAACCCCACTCCACCAAATAAACATGATCTATTTCATTAGGAATGTGGGAAAATAATCAGGGATTTGTAATACCTTAATGAGAATTTTAAAAAAATCCTAAGACCAGCAGCAAAACCTAAACCACAGCAAAATAAATCATCAAGACCTATAGCATGTATTTACAGACTAAAAATAGTTCATTGAACATACACTCACAGCTACAAAGAGTGGATGTCAGTTTTGCATAAGCTCTGAGTTTTGCTACACAAATGTGGAAGGTTTGTTTCAGAAAGCACCCTTCTTCACTCTGGAATAAACAGCTTTTATATAAACATTCCCAGATGAAGTTTTGCAAGGGGAAGGGGGAATCTGAGCTGAGATGAAAGCTATGGAGCCAGAGAGAGGACAGCATATCTCTCCCACTCACACATTTCCAAGACTCAGAATTTTTTGCACATTCAAACTGGTACCTGAAGCAAAATTTAGAAACAACACATGGAATGATGTTTGTCATAAGACTAGAATTGTGCAAGATTATTTAATTTTCACTAGATTTTATCTGGTTGTTTTTCTTGGAATTAAATCAAAACAGATGTTGCCTTTTTTTTTTCTTTTCTTTTACATTATTGTATAAAATTAGCTGCAGGACATTTCTTTATACAGATCTCAAGAAAGAATCTGTAAAAAAGACTTTGAGGATGTTTCTTAGCTTGCATACTCTTTGTCCTTCAGTCCTAAGAAGTCCTAGTTTCATCTTTCTGAAATACTAAATGATAACATAAAGCCAAGTCAGTTCAATTAACCTTATTAGGCAGACAATCTTCCAATGACAGCATGTCATCTTAAAAGCTTTTGGAGAAGCCAAACCCAAAACTATCTGGCAGCCAGAACAATAATTCTCACTCATTAGCAAACCCCAGTATAATAACTCTCACTGACCAGCAAACCCCAGAGCTCAGGGATGGAAATGCATCCTTCAGGTACCCACAACAGTGGTTAGCAACCACATTTTTTTCCCTTTTAACTACATTATTTAAAATATTAAAAAAGAAGTAAATCCTGCCCCTTTGTGGCAGTTTCTTGTCTATACCTCCAGTAACTGGGCAGCACTGGTGCTTCAGCTTCTGTCCTGCCCCTCTCTCAACAACAGGCAATGAATGCCTCACACCTGTGAACTGAGGACTGACCAGCCTGGACACTCCAGAACTACCTATTACTCATCAACTCACTCCACCAGAAATTCTGCCTCCAAACCTGTTACATAATCTAAAAGTTCTTTTTTTTAATTCCTTCTGTTGTATACAGCGCAGTTTTTCTCCTCCTTTGCAATAGCAATGACTTTTGTCTTTACTCCAGCTTTGGTCCTTAGCTGAGGTCTTCTGAGGCTGCACCTTGTGAGGACAGTAGGAGATCCACAGAGCCTCTCATCCCTAATCCCAGCTGTGGATGCACTGCATGTTTCCAGCTAAAGTAGAAGTTCTCCAAATGTTTCTTTGAGGGTTAGGCTTTTTTCTTTTATTCTGCAAGAAAGCATCTGCCTTGTAAAATAGCTGCTGATTACTATTAATTATTCTTGATGACTAGTAGTAAAGGCAAAAAAGGAGGGGTTTTTTTCCCTATTGCCTCTTATTAAAAGGAATTCAGTTGGAAGGTTCCCATTCACTGCCTTGGTTCATGTTAATTTCTCATCTGACTGGAAGCACTAACGAGGCTCCAGCAATGTCATACATAATACACACTCAATATGATTGCAGCTTCAGCCCTGGGCATGTGCATTGTGGGAGCTTTTAATTACATGGTCATATACTATTTTTGTCACAAGACCCCAGCCCTGATCAGATGACAGTACTCAGCAGCCAGCTGGTTAACATTCTGTTCTCCTTCCAAACTGTGGATAGTTATCAGTTCAGCAAATATTCAGATTCTGCTTTTGATGACACTCTCACAGGCTCCTCCTAACAAATTACTTGTGTTTTTTTTACAAAACAGAACACTAAAAACCAACATCCAATTTCAGCCTTGTTCCCCAGCAAATTTATTCATTGCACTGACTTCACCAAGGGATTCAGGGTGATCAGCCTCTGTCACTACTTGTGTGTTTATTCAGCTTCACAGAGGCAATGAGATCAGAAATCTTAGAGCCCCAACTATTCTTCAAGCCTGAAGAGAAGTTTCTTAAATGCCCAATTGCTATTCCAAACTGGAGACCTCCTGCCACACCTCTACCAGTGCATCTGTCATTTTTCTGTCCCTAATTACATGTCCATACCAGCCCAGTGTCCAAAACTCAAACATTTCGGGTTAGTTCCTCTGCCCTTCCTAAAAAAGCCCCTCATTAGCTTGCAGCTCCTGAACAACTTCTAGAGCAAGTCATTACCCAGGGTCAAACACTCAAAATTCATCTTACCTTCTCCATTGCTCCTACAACAGAAATCTTCACCATCCTTGTTCCCATTTGATCATTCTTCAGCTAGACTCTGTTTCTCGTTCATTTCATTCCCTTGTGATCTCATCCCACACCTCTCTGCCCTGAACTCTTCTCCAAAATCTGAGTTCCTTCCAGCAGTTGGTTCTCATGCAGACTGACATATCTATAGCTCTCTATATAAATATTGTAGGTCTGCTGCTTGGTCTCTGGTCTCCTTATTCAACCACTCATCTGCTCTTCCCTGATATTCATGCTCAGTACTTTCAACCTCCACCCAAAAGGGAGTGGTCTCCTTCCCAGTGCAATTTAGCACAGCTGTATATTATTATGCATCTGTCAAAACTGACTAAACCAGCAGGGACCCCAATAGTTATAGCAAACCTGGATGTCACAGAAGCATCTTTCACCTCCCTACTGCATCTTCATGGCATATGGTGCGAGTTTGCACTGTCACCTTTTACTCCCATGCATTCACTTTTAGGGAAGGAGCTCTGGCTTCCAGAGGAGGGGCTGTGTCCCAGATGCTCCATCACCCTGGCATCATCGGTCACGCCGTGCAGTTGTTAAATACCTGCTCTTCAGCCCATCTGGGCCATGAAGGGCCCGGAGTCAGTGGAAGGTGGAGTGTTCATTTCCTAGGGAAGGACCCGTGCCTAAGGAACCGCAGCCGCCTCCACGCTGCCCTCTGGCGGCAAGAAACGGGCAGGGCACACAATGGCGGCCGTTCTGCCTCCCAACAGGTTTCTGTTTCCTCTCCATCTCTTGACTGAAAAGATCGGGGTGTGCACTCTGAAATAAATCCTTACATTTTAAAGGCTGTGCTTCATGAATTAAAAACGTGTATTTTTTGCCTGTAGTGTATCAAATAGACTCTGCTGCACCCTTCTCACCTAAAAACTCCCAACTCCCTGATCAATGTTTCCCATTATAAAGAAGAAAACTGAAGGACAGGAAGAAACTTTTTCTTTCTCCAAGCAATGTTCTTATTCAGTTCACCCCAAAGGATGATGGATGATAATGAAACATGAAAGAATTTTCATTGTAGGACACAAAGTAGACTGCTGTCATTTCAGATTGCTTCACTATTATTAAATAATCACTTTGGTTTTGGAGGAGTTATTCTGATAGTCTGAGTTGAAGGGCAAATTGTGGAGTTTCAACACTGGACCTCTTCTAAATTGCACAGGTATGAGGCATTCTCCATGTGTTATGAGAGATAAATGGGGAATGTGAACATTTTTATTGCTCTTTTGTGATATCATTTCCTTTGGAAATTTCTATCTACCAGCCTTGAGAGAGTCACCTCACCAGCAGGATGCATCATCTGGGAGGCTTCACAGGACTGGTCCACAGCCTTCAGGTTGGCTGTTTTAACTCAAGTGTCCTCTCCTGCTGCCTTTTCATGCTGCCTTCTGTAGAGAACTCTCACAATTCAGCTAAAATGGTTTATCCCATGTCCCTGCCTCCTCGCTCCTCCAAGTCACTCTGCAATGTGAAAAATGGAGATTCACTGTAACAAAAGCATGGCTGCATGCTTCTTACATCATTGGAATGAAATACTTCATGGGGAAGCTTGTATTTCAACACTGGGCTTCACACCTAAAGCATGTTCAGCTTTCAATCACTTCTGTTTTTCACAGGAACCTTCACAATTCCCTTTCAGTTTTGCAACCCACAACTTATATCATGTATACAGTAAATACAGCCTAACAGCCTGGTTCCTTCATAGCTTTGTATCCCTAATCCTTTCCTTGAATGAGTGAATTACCTACTAATTAAGGAGAACTCAGTGCATGCAAGTAGAAAAAAAAATTATAATTTAGTGGGTCTGATTTTTAGAGTGTTGGGGGGGGTTTCCTGCAGGACCTGAATCAACCACAATAGCCATCACAGATGTCATTGACTGTCCACATCTTGCAGTACATCACAAGTATCTTTTTGAAGACAGTCACATCCACTCAACAACAGGTAATTGGGTTCCTTTGTTTAGAACAACCCGCTGTTCTTTGAACATGGAAGACTACATATTGTGTACTGTTTTCCAGTACCAACGGGATCTGCCTCAGGGTGTTCCTTGGGATGTTGACCTGTTTTGAGAACAGGCAGCTGTAATAAAACTGCTCTGCATCCATAATGCCTTGTCATTTCCTCCCCATCCTATTCAATTTATTCAGCATTTAGCCTATACTTAAGTGTTTCTCTTTTTCAGCAAAAGCCTCAAAAGACAACGACCAGTGCAAATGTGAAAACCTTGTGACATTCCAGAACTATGCAACCAGTGAAGTAAGAAAACTCACCCAGCGATATATCCTTTCTGAGTAACTGCTTCTTACAGGTAAGATAAGAAAGGCAGGTTAAAACAAACTACATGTTTTCAGATCAAGTCTAAACTGCCTCCATAGCTAAAAACAGTTTATTGTTATGAAAATCCAAACTACGTAATAGTTGCCAATAGGCAAAGCCTTTAACTTTTAATCTGCTTCTTCTTCATAGAAGGAACAAAAATATTAACAAGGATCTTGAATTTTAATAACTCCTTAAGTAAACACTTTCAGGAATAGCAAAGAAACAACTGGTCAAATTCAAGACTAACATGGTTTGCTTTGGGTTACTTCTTCAGATGCTACTGAAATAGCATTTACAGACTACAGGTTTCCCTGCTGAACTCCTTGGTGAGGCACATATGCAGTGAGTAATTTAAAACCATACTCTAGATAAGGAGGAAATCAGAGGACTCAGGTTTGGTTAATCTTGCATTAGAAGAAATGCAGATAAAAGTTAGCAAAGTGCAGATCACTAGCTTCTGCCACTCAGTCTATTTCAAGGGAGCTGCTAGTGCAGCAGCCTTTACCCTGCCTGCAAATCCACATCTCAGGAAACAGCAGCAAACTGGCAATACAACTCATTGTGCACTATTTATGCAGCAAATTCATAAAAGCTGCTTCTGATCAAATAAACGCTAACAAAACATCACATCTTCTACTTGTGTAACTGTGTGCAAGAGCAGTAAGCACTTACTCTCTGCACAGAGGAGTGCAGTGATCCCCAACAGCTCATCACTCTGTGCTTCCTAGACAGGAACAGCTTCACACGGTGAACTGTCAGTGCAGAGGGAGGCAAGCAGAGCCCTCGGTGACTGGTAACCTGATGCAGAACATGGCAGACACTTTAAGGAATTATGTTCTAATCACTTGATTAAATTACTCCATGCAAAGCAGACTTCATAAAGAGGAGAAAGCCATCATGTAAGGTTATTGCTAGGTGCTTCAAATGCTCATCAACACACCTACTGCTCTGATAGGACTTCTTCCAACAACTTTGGAGAAAAACTTCTAGGTTATTTCCCACATCCTTAAGTGTTACATGACATGCAGCATTCCAGCCTGCATGCTAACAAGAAAGGAGACCAATTCTTGCCCCTTCAGAAGCTCTTTACCACAATCTCCTGCAGTGGGCTGTGAGGACCTCTGAGCTTACTCAAAGAACTTAGTTACTAAGCTTAGAAGCTTAGCAACATGTGCTTTTTTACTTTACCATTTGAGCAGGAAACTGTGATTTTTACTCCAATGGCTCAAGGTAATGGAAAACCTGTCAACACTGAACCAGAGACTAGGAATTTTGATAGGAACAGTGCTAAGCACTTCCTCAGAGCACTGTGCAGCCACTGCTTTGAAGAGTATGAACAATCCAGTTTCCTCTTTATTACAAACTTAATTTCTCTGCCTTATCTCAAGAGCAAGCTCAGGTATGAGGTGCTAAACTAGTCCTTGGTAACTGCAGACTGCTGGCTAGTCCTCATCCAGAGATCTGGGGGGTGGAGGACGGAGAACTGGCTACATAAGTAGCTCCAGTTACACAATACAAATTCAGAGTGACCAGTCCAAACTGTTTTGTGTCCAGCTACACTAACTTCTATCAGTAAGTTGAGTGCAGTTTCACTGTTTCAACTTTGCCTCTGTGAACACTTGAGAAACACTTGAGAAAAATGGCTGAAGAAAATGCAGTTCACATGGTGCTCCTGTGCAGAGTAAGCTTGCCACAGCAGACAGATGAGCAATTACCAAACCCAATGTCCAGGCAGACTGAACACCCACAAAAGCAAGATACACACCCTTGCTCCTTACTAGCAAGAGATTTTCCTGCTGACAATGAGGGGGACAGCACACGTAGCTGTTCTGGCCAAATTCTATTTGCCTGTCTGCCCTAAAAATTCCTAACAGCAATGTGTCAAAGATCCCAATTTATATGCCCAGTTCTCCATTTCCCCTTGTGCAAGACGTTAAAATGTTGAAATCAAGACTCTAGTCAAATAAGTAAGGAGTGGGGTGCAGCAAATTCATCCTTCTGAGGTAGATCTCAGTGACTTCAGATCTCACTTGATGCTAGGCCTCCTCTTCCTCTCAGCTTCCCCTGGCTGCAGCCTTTCCATAGCACTCAGAGAGAGGGGCTGAAGTAAACAGTACCGGTCCAACATCTTCCTGCAGGAGACAGCATTCCTGCCAACTGGAAGTGCTTATCAGGAAAGGGATACTGTACACTACTTTGTATTGCTACAGCTTCTTACTGTAACTGGAACCAGCCCTAGATCCCCCAGTTTGTTGTTCTCTATTCCACGTTTGTCTGGAAACCACTGCCACAGTTGTGGACAGGAACAGATCATGAGGAGCAGACATTCTTACTGGGGTCTCAGAGCCCCAGAGTTCTATAATCTACTGCCAGTTATGTGCAGTTTTCCACATGATTAAGTGAAACATTTTTAAACAGCATTAACTAGATAAATATTTACCCTCACTTTAAAATGGAGAAAAGCAATCAATTTGTAGAAACAGCCTTTTTAATAAGCTACAGTCTGAACTCCATGTCAAGGTAAACCTGTTAAATAATAGGGCTTCACACAGCTTTCTCAACTCAGCAGAAAATAAAGGGGATTATTGTATGAGAAACTACTGGGATTGTAAGAGAACAAACAAAAATGTTTATGGACCATAGCAATCAGGTAGCTGACTTTTTAATGCATTTTATCAGTAGCTCTCTTTCCTTAACTTTTATCTACTGGAAGAAATGACAAAGAGAATGGAAGACTTGGAAAACAGACTAAAATACTGATCAGAATTTGAAGTGTACACTACACTGTATATTTATACATACAAATTTGTCAGAGCTATTTTCTTAAACTGGTTCGAAGTAAAATAACATCTTTGTGTCTGAAGTTGAAAAGAATATTCTGGATCCTTGCATTTATATGCCATGTGTTGTCTTGCATCGATTACAGATAAAAATGTTGATAATTTTATATAAACAATTTAGTAACTAGCAGAAGTTCTAATTAAGCAGAACTGAAATAAGCTATGCAAAATAATAAAATGGTGTTATTTTTTGAAATGAAACCTCCATGTTTTGAAGTATTTTTAGGGTATGAATTTGACTTGCTTTTCTGTATTTCCCTCCTCCACTCCTAGTATTTTAAGCACAGAGATTGTGTATGTATATAGTTCTATGTACAGACATACACAGAACAAGCAAGACAGCATTCACAGCCATTAGGATTGACTTGGATTCTTCAAAAAAGTTACTACTGGAATCAATAGGAAGTAAAAATGTAGTTACACATTTGTGTTTAAACTGTAATGGAATTAAATTACCCAAGTGAGAAGTCTGCTGGGTTATCAGGGCATCACAACTTGAAGTTTCAAAACCTTTTCCTTATGTCTAGACTACCCAACTTCTCCCTGCTGTCCTTTTGTCAGTATTCACTGATTCTCTAACTTTCCTGAATGCAAGGAGTATATTAATTCTGAAAATATTACTTGGTCAATTCAGCTAGCTGCACACCTGTCAAACACTAAAACACAAACAAAACCAAACAAACTGCTTCTATTCTGGCCACCCGAAGTGTCTTCAAGTCTCACTCCCTTCCCTTGACTGCAACTCATCTAGATCTGTGGTTAAATAGGTAAATATACCAGCACTTCCTCCTTTGCTCTGACACACCTCAGAGTTTGCCTCTTGACTATCTCCAGATGGAAACGCCAAATTTCATTCACTTTATAACAGAAGTAGTTGCAGCAAAACTTAAGTGATTAACTGATGTCAGACAAGCTGGTGAGTGTACATGGATATACAACAGCAAGCTTTGAAAGATACCTCATGCTTTGGCATACTGTGGAATTCTGCGGGGTCACAGGTACATCCTGATTTTCATTAGGTGTTTGTTTTTACCATGTCAGAAAATCACTGCCACCTCAATTACCAATCCCTAGTAATAAGGAACATCCTGCAGTCATGGTCTCAAACAAAACAGGCACAAATCTCTAAGATACTGACATTCTCAGCAATTGCCTTGAGAACACCAGCTCATCTGTCTCAAATATCTTCAGAAAACTGAAAAAAAAAAAGGCTACTGATTTAAAACAGCTTTGTGAAGTTAACTGGTATCTTACTGAAAGCCTATACTACACATCTAGAAGCTATACCCTGTTTGTCCTTTTACAGGTATGTACTTTTGGATGTTAAAGACAAAGGAACTGATGCACAAATTCTACTTGATTTCACTTGGTAAAAACAGTGTGAAATATTAAATATAAGTAAACCCTTAGGGTTCCCCACCAACATCCCAAATTTGCTACTGTCCCTTACATTATGGCTTACGTTTGCATTAGCACTCCACAAGCAAACACTAAGGGAGCCCCAGCCCGTTGGGATTTGGCACCATACTTGCCATGATCAAGCCTTCCTTCACTCACCTCTTAAGATCCACAATGCCTACAGAAAGAACAGCAATTTTGCCATGTGAAGGTTATTTCTAACAGAACAAGAAGCACAGCAGTGGTAATGAATCTTCATTTATATAGTTTGTTCCCTAAAACCAACAAAAATATAATACAAATTTTTCTTTAAAAGAGATCTGTAACCAGTTTTATTGTAGAAATAACACCTTTACAGCATTTACTTCTCACTGGTTTGTTCTGGCATGCTTCTAATGATGTCAGAGTCACCTGTAAAACAAAAATGTATTGTTAGAAGAGGACCCATGGGAAGATGATTTTAGGAATAAAAGTAAGAAAAAAACCCTCTACTCATAAAATCACCACAGTGATTCTAGAAAAAGAAAACAACCTAAAAGAACAGACAGTCTGCTCAGGAAAAAAGTGAATAATTTTGATAAAATTGACGATAAGAATACTTGTAACTGTGTTTTTCTAATCCAAGCACAGTATTTTCCAATAATTACACACCTGTCACCAGCATTTACAAAGCCAGGACTAAAACAGCAATCTAGTCCTGGAGGACACAATGCATAGTTTTACTCTAGCGAATGTCTAGCCTCCCCTGATCACAGAGATATCAGGACAGCGAGAATATTCGCATTGTCAGCTCCAGAGCATTGGGACTGACTTACAGCTCCCACCCCACCCAAAACCAAACCTGAAAGTGACATTTTGACAATTAAGTTTACAGTTACTATTTGAATACAAGCAAGCTAAATAAAGCTTCCTGAAGCAGTAGGAAATTCAAATCATTCATTGTGACTTGGGGAACAGCTGGTTAAAGCCATTACAGGAATCATTAAACCTATGTGTATGCATTCTGGTCAACAAACAGAACAAGGGATTGACTCTTCTCTTAAAACATTCTGGAAAGAGGATGGGAAGTCACCTACTTAGCATTCTATATAAGGAATCTGAGCAACTCTCTGGGACAAACACTGTCACCAAACCATACTAATTACATACAAATGCAGTTTTAAAATGAAGCATTTAACATGATTCTCATTCCCTTGATGAATATCCACCTGCCTATTGGTTATTTTTCTATATACTATTCTGGGAAGCAGGACAAGTCACAACCCTTTGTCTCAGACTAAGAACAGTCAAACAGGGCTGTTGTAAACACTGTGTTGTGCAAGCCCATGTCCTAGCTGATGGGTTCAGAAACAGGTCCCATATAGTTGCTTCCCAGACACCAAAACCTCCCTAAAGACTGACAGGCAGACAAAATGCTCACAGGCCTCAGCAGTAAAAGAGTTATGTGCAAGAGATGCAGCAGTGCTTCCAGGTTCTGAGAACCCTGGACTCACAAAAGAACAGGATCTTGGTCAGCAAAAATTTTAAGTGTTAAACCTGATGGAAAAATGCAGTCAAGTGTGTCATCACTCCTGCTCATTCCTTGCTCAGTGCTGCTACTCACAGGAGAAGGGAGGATCCACAGACACCTCCTCATTTGGCCTCTACACTGCAGGAAGGAATTACCTGGGTCGATGATGGCCAGTGTGCACACTCTGTAGTATTTTCCACACGCTGTGCCCAACTCAATGTTGTTCCCACTATAATGATGGACACCAGTCTTAGCAAGCATAGCGTAGTACTCGATCTCTGATTTTCTGAAATCCAAAAACTGGGTGTTAACAGGACCACAAACAATTCTGACAACTGCAATACAGAGAGAGCAGCTTTAACTCCTACCACACTTGACCCTTAACTTTTCCTTCCCACCCAGAGAAACACAGCTGCTTCTTGTGAGGCAGCATCACTCCACGCTTGTGGCTCAGGAACCTTTATTTAGATGTCTGCTGAAGGTTTGCAACAACAAACCCTTCAGGCTGCTCCTACTCAGGCTCATTTTCACATGGTAGAAGGATTCAGCACTTGCAGACCTCTGGAAGGTCTTTCTTTAGGTGCCAAAGTGCATAAACTAAGAGTTAATGTTGATGGCCAGATGGCTGAACAGAGAGGCACAGGTGTTGCAGCTGAGAAAGGAAGCATGTATTTTAATTTAAAACAAAAAGTCCACCTATGCTGCCCTCTCTTTTGACTTCCACCAGGACAGTCTAGCAGTCAATACTGTTTCCCAACCATTTTCAGATCCCCACTAATACTGGGGACTGCTGCCCACTGCAACACTCTTGGTATTTCTCAAGTATCTAATTTCTGGGCTGTGCACTGACATTGTCTTGAGCCTGTCAATATCCCTCAACAACAGAAAGGGCCCAGGTATTCAATGAGGAAAACATCATGACATAGTACAAATTGCATTCTCAAAAAATCAGTTTCACTGGCCAGGACCCGAAATTTATAACTAACTTTGACAAAGTGCTTCAAATATTTTAAATCTGTCATCAGTTTTTCTAGCTATAAAATTATTTTCCAATATACTACCTTGGAAAAACATAGGAATTCAGCCCCATTACACTCTTAGTGAATGCTATCAAATATGAAAAGCTTCCAAGACTTTCTCTAGTGCAAACTCCTTGAATCAGAAAGCCAGAAAAACACCAGGAAGCATGTCAACACTTCTAGACTTGAAATCATTACACAGCAAACTACTAAACAAACTTCAGAGCACTCTAGAACATGCCAGCAAAGCCCTCTGTATTAAGTCTCTGGAGCAATTAGCACGAAGCACACACTGCATTTGTACAAAGAGCCCACCTCGGAATTGTTTTCTCCCACATCTGCTTACCTCAAAGCAGGACAGTTGTTGGCGAGGATGACCAACTTGGCTTTGCCCTGACGAATCATTTTCAGAGTTTGTTTGTACCCAAGCACATATTTGCCACTTTTCATAACCAGCTGAAGCCTGGAGTTGATGGACTCCAGGGACTTTTTCTGAAAAAGATGTAAAGAAACGTTATTGTGTTACTTCACGCTTTTCAAAACAATGGGGAACACAATAGAGAAATTTCAAATACGTGCACTTTTCATAATCTCCCTATAATCTGAAACATGGAATAGGAAAGGCCAGTCACTCACCAGAGTATAAGAAAGCTCATAGATAGGGGCATTGCTGATACTGTGTTTTCACAAGTTCAGAAAGTTCTTTCTTATCCCCACATCCCTCAATAGAAAAATGCATCTCAAAAATACATCTCACTATTGTTGTTGCTATCTACATAAATCAGTGACAACTGCATGTATTTGACGAGCTCTTGTCAAGGCTTTGCAAATCTAAGCCAGGTTCAGAGCCTGTCTCTCCCCAGGGCACACACTGACAACGCTACATGGAGCAGCAGAAAGAAGGAATTCTGTGCGATATCGAACTGATATTACAACAGCGGAGCTCATGACAACAGGTTAGGCGCATCTGACGGACGAAATCACCACCTCTAACCAGGAAACTCAGATCTGTCAGAGCCACTGTAAGAGAAAGGCCAGAA